GCATATGCAGTTGTGTTGAAAGGATGTGTGTGTCCATGTGTGTGTGTGTTTGTGCGTGCCTGCGTGCGCCAGGCCGATGGCGGCTGTCGGTGGCAATCATTGCCCCATTCATCTCGGTCACTGTTTATAGGTTCGTTGTCTACGCTCTGGCATCTTGGCAATCACTATGATCAGGGCATGGCGATCATCGCTCAGTATCTACGATATTTCTATTTACGTTAACTGCTACTGCTATTGCTATTGCTATTGCTGGCAATGTGTACAGTGTGTGTATGCGTGTGCATGATTCTGTCGTTTACGTTGCTTTTCAGCTTGTTTATGCTACTACGCCACTGCTCATAGACGGTGTCGAACCGAGAGAGGCCTGTTGTATTGAAGAGGGCTTGTCGCAAACCACTGAATGTTGCTCACTCGTGTCCTATTCTACTCTCGGCCGGCCGATACAAGTAGAGTAACGCTACTAAAACCCGTTAGCGTGGCGACAGTTTACGCGCGCACATCAACCGCGCATTGAGTCAATCGTGATTCGATATAGCACAGTCAGGCAGTAGAGGTAATGAAGAGGTTGCAGGCTCGTGATGGTGACCGTTTCTGCAAGCACGAACGGCTTGATTATTAATGATTGCCTTTGCTTATTATTATTTGAGAATATTATTATTATTATTTTTTTTTTGAGAAAACGCCCCTACGAGAAGTACCGTTAGATGCCATCATGTCGTAATGGACAAGCGTGTAATACAGCCACAAGCAAGAAATCAGATTAAGCAGGTATCTTGTAAGATTAAGGTTACCGAATCGAGGTTCAAGAGGGCACCCGACAAGACCGTACGATGTTAAGTTTTTAGGAGACGCCAGGTTTGAGCAGTTGTAGAAACTGTAGAATTACACCTGATTGAATTTAGCAAATTCTGATTACGATTTCATTCCCCGTTGGTCGCCGACCACAGATCAACCATGAGCGCCTTTGGGGCTCGGCGTCATGTTCAAGGTTTGCCGGCAAAAGCAATCTTAACCCAACGCTAGACAAAAAAAAACTCGAAATATGCTTTAAATCGACGAAAAGCCGCCAAACGTTCATTCCTTTTACACCTGCGGCATTGTGTACAACCGTGTGATGATAAACTGATAGGGCCTGTCTCCAAAGCTTTCTGTTAACGGTACGAAAGACGCCACAAACAAACAGACGACATGACGTTATTTCACTTACGAAAAATACTAAATTAACTTATCTAGCTGGTTTTCGCTCTCTTTCTATGTGTTACCGTTAACCTGATGCGGGACGCATGCAACCGGCTCGCCTTCTGTCTATCGTTAGGCCGAAGTTCTACTTAGGAATCATCAAAGATCAATCAACAAAAAACGTCACGCGCCTATATTTTTCCTGTCTTTGGGCAGAATTTTCTCTAACCTTTGCAGTATAAATAAATATATAGCGGTTTACATAAGCACCTGTATATGTAAGCGTGTCTGCTGGACGAATCGGGGACCTTCGCTTGCTCTGGTCGATTCTGAATGACGCTGTCTTATTCTAGGCTTTTTCTTTCAATAGCCAACGAAAGCGATTATATCGGACAAGCACAGTAGCTGCTAGACCCGCGAACAAGGTCGGATGCCGTTCGCAAGGTGCAGTCAGACCCATAAACGAATCCGATGAGCGACGGGCAAGATCATTTCTATACGGTTAGTGGAAGAAGAGGTCGATAAATAGAAAAGTGGAAAAAAGGCCCCAGACTACAATTGGTCAAAAAACATAGAGAAAGCTAATATTTGACTAACGTGACTCGGTGCAACCTATTACTGACGGGTTCTGAAGACATTTTTTTTTCCCCCCAAAAGTAACTATAACTCTACTTTTTAGTTATACACATCTACGATTTGTTTTTCTTTTCTTTAGACTTTTGTAAACATTTGGGGTTGGGATGCGCCCGATGTTGATCTAACGCCTCTGAAACCGTCAGGGACGACCGTGCACCACGTGGGCTCATGACTAAGCGCCTACTCTTACAAACAAATCGGTGTCAGATACATTTGACGCTGTGAGATAAGATGTTACATTTAATTGTGCCGTATCAGCCACCACGAAGGTCCCATACAGATGTAGGCCTATTTCAAAACAACCTGTTGCACTCCCATATACATTCAATAAATACGAGCCAAAGTATTCTACGAGTCTCAATCGATTCGCGCTATCAGTCGATTTGACGAGAGACATAGTCATCGAGTGCCCTATGCCGGAGACTTGTGACGATGTTTAAAGTGACGACAAATGATGCACGGGTTTTTTTTTACTTGAAAGGAAGAACAGATCGAGTACAAATATGCGGGAGACAACTGCTAAGATAAGACCAAGTGTCTCTAGAACTGTGTGGATATCGGAAGTAACTAATTTGCCAGGTCAATATTAGTGATGATAGAAATCGAAGGTAACGTAAAAAGTGTAACGCTTTTTAATTAATAATCATTTAATTAACAAGCGAGAGAAAGCACAGCAGATGTGAAAAAAACGTTAAAATAATGGGGCCTAATGACAGGATCTGACAGGTTACAAGCGGAGCGCATTTTTTACATGCGCTCTGTATTCAACTAATCGTAGCATTTTTTTGCCCTTAAGCGATACATTAAAAACCTACATAAGTGTGTATATCTCATTATGTATTCACTAAGTATATCACGTATATAATCAATGTGGTCACATTTAAATCTTCTACGGGGTTGTACCTTGACGGCATTGCAATTCATCAACTGGTCATCGCGTTTGCTTATAATGTATCGATCGAGAGGTAGACAAATGATTCTTTGAACGTACATCTGTTAAACAGCTTTAAATCATCAGAGAGCCAATATGCTAGTACAGGTAGTATGCTCAGCTTTGTGCTTAGGCCACACAGAACTAGGTCATTTAGAAGGATCAACCGTCGATTTTCGTAGTTCCTGACAGTCAAAAGGACCACTTGTACGGCCCTGGTGTGTATCAATGCTCACAAGTTAATTTTCGCCCTGACTTTCGAATAGACGGTTGGACCTCACGGACTCGCGCTCGCATCGCTGTCGTCTAATGAGTGAGACTTTTTTTTTTTTTATCTACCGTCATCATTCCGGTAATGAAGACATGGTGCCGATGAAGCTCGTTCGGGAGGAACGCTATTTTCGTTATGTGGCCTAAACAAACTATTTCGCAAATCACCCGACAGTACGAATTGCAACCGTATGCAAAACTTGTCCATTAGACTGCTGAAAAAGAATCTGGTGGATCTTAAAATTGAATAACTTTAGTGAAATTTGGCTGGTAAATATATCGGTCTCCTGTAAATTCGCGGGTGAAAACATATTAAGTAAGGAAAAGTAAGTTCAAGAAAAAAACATCTTTAAGTCTTTAAAAGCAACGCTCAGTGATTGAGGCCACAACACTAGAGAAATTCATCAAAAATTCGTGAAGACATTAAGCAGTCAGGCTTCGAGCAAAAGCACAGTGCGTGAATGGTGAAAACGTTTCAAAAACGATTATCGGAGTGTTGAAGACCAGCAAAGAAACGATAAAGACGTCGGGACCTGAAGAACATAAGCATGTTGCCGGAATCGAGAAGATTTTTCACGAAAGCGGAGTCTAAGGATTCTGTTAGCCAAAGCTGCTATTTCACATGTAACCTGCTACAAAATTTTGAAAAGTGAGTAAAAAATAGGTTTCCCGTGAACTGATTTCAGGCCACTTGCAATTTGCGGAATCTTAATCAATAAAAACCCGCCTGGAGCATATGGCTGTTACAGACGAAGCATGGTACGATCTCCAGATGCGAGAAAGCTGTCGCCCTGGAGGAAAATCGAGTTCGACGGCAGTGTCGAGCAAGTTCAGACGTAACGTAACGACTGCACCTATAATGAACATCAGGTTTATTTGCTTATATAAGGCATTCGCTGAAAATTAAAGAATGAATGTAGCAAGCGGTACTTCGAGAGACTCATAGGCGGTTGGTATGGCAATCGAAAAATCGCATTCTGGTTACCCGATGACCACACTAGACCTCATCCGCATGGCTCAATTACTTTCTAGTTAGTTAAAAGTTCAACCTGCTTATTCTCTGATCTAACTTCGTGTGATCATCAGGCTTACCAAGTCCTAAAAGAGCCACTGATGGGCGAGTATATACCACAATCGATTCGTTTTTGAGAAGAGATAGAAAAATTACTTGCGAAAAGGTAGGTACATAGATTGTTGCTGCTGCTGCTGCTGCTGCTGAAAAAAGCGATTAAGAAATAAAAAAAAAAAAAGATATATTAAAAAAATTATAGTTCTAGACCAACGAATGTAAAGGTTATTAAACTTCGAAGTCCGCCGGACTTGCCTGTAATAGCCCAACATTGTGGCATTGGAAGATTTTTATATCAAGAGATAGGCGGGTGGATAATGTGTCTTAATCAAATATTATAGGCATGCATTTTTGACGCATGCCGAACTGCTCAAAATTCAATAGAGATATATACGTTGCACAATACGGTTGAGTTAAACTCGCTGACTGGGTTGTCAGCGCTCACATCCAGGTTTGCAACGACGTTCAGCCAGTAATACGAAGTGTCAAAGGCCGTTTTGTGTGTTCCTGCGTCTCTAAGCAAAACTCCCTGGCTTCATAGAGACTACTGCCTACTGCAAGGTCTGCTACCGGCTTCTACGGACACAGCGGGTCGACAAGCAGAACCCGAATTTAAGTTCATATGTTGAAGATGCATGGCCAGTATTATATTGAATATGTATTCGATATGACACGTCTTCTCGACGACAAACACAACGGAAATAGTCGGGATGACCGCCTTATGAATATCCCTTCGGAGCTCAGCCGTATTGTCTTTTGCTCACATCACACATCGGTATTGTAAACATTACTGGAAAAAAAAAAAAACAAAAAAACAACTGCGAGAAATAAAACAGGACGTCAGCCATGCTTGCGTTAACTTCTACTTTCAACATAACTAATAAAGTAACTTAAACATTTGATTAACATGCTTACCAATCATCATTTTGGTGTCGTAGATTCTTCGTCATCATCGCGTAATTATAAATTACTCCATTTCGATCGCCAGCATCTGAAACAATAATCAATTACGGTTATCCTCAAAGGCAGGCAAATCAAGGGCAAAGCAATTCGCGACACTGACATAAGTATACTCGAGGGTAGTCACTAGAAGATGAAGAATAAATAAAACGACTTCGTACA